TATGATATATATATATACATATATATATATATAATCTATATCACTAACTTTCAGCTTGTTGTGTTTGTGGATATATGACTGACTTTAATTATCCATAAAATCATCAGATTCTCTGTAAGATTAAGGTCGACTATATGTATATTTAGAAGTAGAGGCTTTAAAACCAAGTTAATGCTGAAAGTACAAACATCACTAGTGTCACATAACTTTGCCGACATGTGGCCAACAGCAATGTTGTAATGTTCTTCATTATTAAACATTCGCACATGAATAAGTGACGTCATATTCAGTACTTACCTTTGACAGTTCACTCTTCGGCCGCTCCCTTCTTGCGGCAAAATTATCCACACCCACCACCGCGCTATGAATTGTGGGATATATGGGACCACGAAGCGTGCACCGGACCACGCTTGATATTTGGGGAAATCGACGGCGCATTTGGAGTATGCATTTGAAGTATGCATTTGAAGTACACTTCGAATTGGGACAGCCGTTGTCGCGTGGCGGTGACATAACCGCACTTAAAATGCGTACTTCAAGCGTGCAGACCCTGAAATGGGACACAGCCTCATACTGGTCACAGGAAGTTTAACATGCCACATCATAGGAAAGTATTCTCAGAGGATCTGAAAAAAAAGAATTGTGTCTTTTGAAAATAGACGTATGAGTGCTGCCAGCATTACTGCAGAGGTTGAAGGCGTGGAGTCATTTTTTGGGCCTGCATGAGTGCTGCTGGCACTGGGGAACTACAGTTAATTGAGGTAACTTTAAATGCCAACATGTACTGTGGCATACTGAAGCAGAGCATGATACCTCCCTTCAGAAACTGGGCCACACAACAGTATTCCAACATGATAACCCCAAATACACCTCCAAAAAGACCAGTGCCTTGCTAAATAAACTGAGGGTAAAGGTACTTGACTGGCCAAGCATGTCTCCTGACTTAAACCCTAATGAGCATCTGTGGGGCATGCTCAAATGGAAGGTGGAGGAGCGCAAGGTCTCTAACATCCACCAGCTCCATGATGTCATAATGGAAGAGTGGAAGAGGATTCTAATGGCACCCTGTGAAGCTCTAGTGAACACCATGCCCAACAGTGTTAAGGTAGTGTTGGAAAGTAATGGTGGCCACACAAAATATTTACATTTTGGGGACAGTTCACTTTTGTTGCCAGAGTTTGGACATTAATGGCTGTATGTTGAGTTATTTAGAGAGGCAAATTGACACTGTTGTACAAGCTGTACACTGACTACTTTACATTGTATCAAAGTTTCATATCTTCAATGTTGTCTCATGAAAAGATATAATAAAATATTTACAAAAATGTGAGGGGATAACGACTGTGTTTAGTCTGTTCCTTCCCATTCCATGCAAGGCCACCTGGGTTGGCTGGAAGACTGTTTACTTAGCCTAGCAAGGCGAAGGACACTGTCTCAGCTGAACTCTGGACACACACACACATACATATACACTGATATGCACACACTCATCTCCCCTCCCTTCCCAAACGCCTTCGATGCTTGTTCCCACCTGGGGAACACGGCGGGTCTGAGCCCGCGCTGGAATGGTAGCGCTGGGCAGGATGGCTGCTGTGTTTGCTTCGGATTACTCCTCACCCCCCACCCGACCCTGTGGCCCTATTTCACTGCAGGGCAACCTGCACGTGGCGAATAAAGCCTTGATTGATTGATTGATTGATTGTACTCACTTCTGAGATACTGTATGTATAATTCAAATTCAAAACCAGTACCGGTACCAAAAAAAGATTTATTCATAACACACGGAGAAAGGCCCAAGGAAACAGAGTTATGGACTCATGGACCAGTACCGGTCCCCAACCCCACACCATCATAACATCTTATTTTCAGCAGCACAACAACTTTGCATCAAAGCACAGAACAAACATCAGAATGCTGATATGCTTGTTTTTCTTCATAGTAGCCACCACATTCTCCTTTAAAGGTTTACAGACAAAAAGTCACACATTACTTTGACATGTAGAAACACGTCCAAAAACTTATGAAGCCTTTGAGGAAGACAAAGTAAAGGTATATTTTGTTTATGCCTTAGTTTAGATTGCATATATTTTATGTTATTTGACTTTAACCTTTGACTGTACTTGAGCGTATTTTTTTTATATTTTTGCATTTAAGAAAACGTTTTCTTTAAAAATTTAAATTTTAATATGGCAGGTAAAAACAAAGGGCTTTGTTTTCTTTTCCCTTTTTTTAAACAGCTAAAACAAGATACATTGCAATTTCTAAAATAGAAACCAATTAGCAGTTCATTCTCCTGCATTTCCTTAAGACCAAAACGATAAGACCTGATTAATCAATTAATTGACGGAATAATCGATAGCAGCATCCCTAAAAGAAAGCCAAAAAAAGAAAAAAAAAGAAAAGAAAAAGGGGAAAAGTGAAGAAATGAGCAACAACGGAAAAAGAGCGGCCTCTTACTGCATTTCAATGATATTGGAGACTGCAAAGCTGAGTGAATTTATAAAATAAGAAGCTGGCTAAATTGACACCTGTTTTTATTTTTAGCCATTTTTCATTGTGGAAGGGGTTTCAAACTTGTCCAGGCCTTAAACCTGAAATGTGTTTCTCCAAATCCATGAAAATAAGGCATTTATGAAAACACTAAATAACAAAATTGCTTCCTTGAAAAAGACTAAATTTACAGTTCAATACTGAATATTACATCAAATAAACTATATACACTCAAAATGTGTTTGAATGGCAGAGGTGCAGAAATGTCTGCATGTAGCACAGAGCCATGGCTCTTGTCTGAATGAGTGTCACAGGCCTGAATGTGAGCTTGAAGCTATTTTTATTTCTTAACTTTACAGCTTTCGTACTGATAAAAACCGTATGGCCATTCATACTACAAAAACGAATTAAGCAGTAAATAATTAGCCTGTTGAACTCCAATGCCCCTGGTACCGGGGACAAGAGGGAGAACATCTGGTTTAACGGGATGTACCGCCAGATCTTTATAAATGTGTGATATCTACAGAAAGGTCAGAATCTCAGCTAAAAGCTCACAAAACTATTTCAACCATCACCAAACAGCTAAAACAGCAAACAATTAAAGAGCAAGTAAACAGATTCCAGAAAAAGATGTAAACACAAAGCGCAAATCCCCCGTTCACCCCGTCCTGTGCTAAAAAAGATGACATCTGAAAAATTACTAAACTTCCGGTTATGTCACTCTCCGACCAAAATTCATGCCCATTTAAAAAGAAGAAACCTTTTGCCTTGATCAATATTATCCAAGGTAACTTTTGCAGCTCAGTCTTACAGTTTTTCTCAAATGCTAAAACACATTACAAACGTTTCCACCATGTTCCCCAATGTCTAAACACAACACCCATTTCTAACGCTACATAAACACAACCACACCTTCCCACTGCAAAACTCAAATTTTCACACCAAAAGAGCAGCTCGAAGCTTTCAAAAATGTAAACACTACACATCATTACACACTACAGCAAAACAATTGAAAACACAAAGCTCAATTTGTGAGAAGGTTCTTTGTTTCATAACTGCCAATGCATATTTTTAGAAACCATACAGTAACGGATCGCCGTGGATCTCTGCAGAGGATTAGGCATTTAGATTTGTGAGTTTCATAAGAAGAGTATATAATCCCCTGCCTCTTCCCCTGCCTTCATCCATTGTGTTTGTTTGGACTCTTCAGCATACTGTGCACTCTGAACTTGCTTTTATACATGTGGTCACAACATTAGCAACAGGTGTCTTCAATTTTGAGTCGTTGTGTGTAATGAATGACGCCAGGTGTGTTCATTGTGTTCAGATATTGCTGACTGTGGCAAGCATGTTGCATCACATGAGCTTTCAATTGAGAATATGAGCAGAGTTCTTTTGCAACTTGTGTTTTAGCAAGGAAAGATGTGTTTAGATTTATGACAACGGAGGATTGTGTTCTGTGAATTGTGTCTTCATGTGACATGTGTTTATGATATTGGTAAATGATGGCTAGATTTAGTAAATGTGTTTAGACAACTGGTCATTTGGTTTAGAGGATTGGCTTTTGTGTTTTAGCATTTGAGAAAAACTGTAATATCATCACATACATGTTTGAACAGTGTGCCCATAATATCAGCTCATAGACATCCCCAAACCATGAGTGCTGCCATGTCTACACATTAGCATTACCAATTGCTGATGTGAGGTAGGCAGCTCCTCTAAAGTTCAGTGCATTTACATTTTACACTTGTTATGTATGAACATCATGGCGACAAACGCCTCTTCACATTTAAACTTAACAAGCATCAGAGCTGACCGCTTTCACAGTCCAAACTGACTTACCGTGGGTGGAAAGTCAGTCTTTTTCCAGATGTGGTTTAATTTCTACATGCTAGCCTCGAGCTAGCCAGTTGGCCGCTTGTGTTACTTCTTGGTGTTTTCTACGTCACTGGGAACATAGTAACTGGCATATGGTTCAAACGGGTGTACGGCCAGATCTTTATAGATGTGTGGTATCAAAAGAGCCAAACATGAATGACTGCAAACCTCAGTGAATGGGAACAATGTCTAACAAACAGACGGTCAAATATTTCTTCATGATGTGAGAGACTGATAAAATCACAATGATAAACTGGTTATACAACCTTTTGAATCATAATGTGTACTTAAAAAAACACTGTGTAATATGTGAAGTTTTATTTACTTCATTTTAAAACCATATCTTTTTTTATTATGTCCTGATGGGACTGCGTGTCACATGACTGTACATTAGCTACAGCAGACATCCACTGCATGATGTTTCTTTGTCACAACTAGAACAATTTTTAGTTGATAATGCAGTTTTCAATGCAGGACTTTCATGTGATGGAGTAGTCTGAAAGTGTGCTACACCGGACAGAAAAAAAACACAGGATCTGTGTTCTTCTTGAAGCATGTGGTGTGAATGTGTTCATTACAGAGAAAAAAGAGAAATGAAAGCTCTTAAATGGACATCCTTACCCATCATGCAGTTTAAGAAAAAAAACCAAACTTTATTGCTGAATCCACTTTACAAATCAATCTTGAAAAATATAGAAAGGTGTTACAAAATATCTGACCAGATCTCAGGTAGATCGTGTGGATGTAAATCACACTCAGTTTCTATCGTCAGTATTGTGTGAACAACACTTTAACCTTATTGTATGTGGTTATTAAACATGTTAGAATTGACATTAAAAAAAAAAAAATCATACGTTACAATATCAGGATACAAAACTATACAGGGTGTTAAACAGAAACAAACATTCTCAACAGCTTTGTAAAGAACAAGACCAAAATGTTTGTTTTACTCTTGTTTATACACTTTTCTTTTTGGTGCTGAAAAAGGCCACACATTCACATTTCATTACACTCCATTCTTCAAATTTTGGCGTACTGTCCTCACTGCGGTCGCAGTTTCAAGGCTGATGGACTAATTCCCAAAAAGCCAGAGCTGCACGGCTACTTAGTACGGCGATGTTTCACAGTTGAGTTAAGCAACATCATTTACAAATTTCTTGCATGGCACCTGAATTTCTATTAACTATACATTATTCACATTTCCCTAAACCTACTTGTTTATAAAAGTGGAAAAAAAACAAGTATTAAAAAAAAACATTCACAGTGCTCCATGTACCAAAAAGACAGTTACAGAAGAACAAATTACACCTTTCCATGACATCAAAGAAAAGAAGCCTTTACACAGAAACTTAAGTTTGGTTATATATATATATATACACATTTTATACAAAACAAGTTAGTATTTAAGTACATTGAGATAAACAACGAGAAAATATTTTGGTACAAATATTAGATATAGGGAAAATAAAGCCCATAACCGATTAGTGCAGCAATGTCAGAATAATGTTGAGTAAACTGGTTATGGTACATATATAAAATATGTAAATATGGCACTTAGCATCTGGTATATATAATTCAGAGTTTACTCTCGACAAGGAAATCTGATGAATGGAATAGTCTCCTCCTCCTTTAGCTTCCAAAAATAGATGTAGTTTTCATGAGCAGGAACAAAAGATGAAAACTAGATTTTTCAAACAACCAGTATTGCATCAGCAGTGAGTAATCACCTCCTTTGGCTCAGAAGAAAGTACTTTCCCATTTTCACTTTGGAGCTCGTCTGAGAGAAGTCACTATTTTACACCCATTTTACACATCTTCCCTCACCGGAAAATCTTTAACAAAGAGAAAATGAAAGATTAAATAATTGGAGAGACACAGTAACAAAGCCAAATATCAATAAACACTAGCAAAACTGTTAGTGGCTGATAAAAGCTGCAGAAAGAGCAACAGAGTCACTCTGGTTTAACCAGTAATGTAGTAGATGTGGCATTAGGAAACTCACTGTGAGATGTTCCACGACGGCACCAAATCAACAAAATTCCAAGCACCAACATTACAGAGACCCCTTTACACAATATCCTGAAATAGGGGTTTGGCTTGGTATCTAGAGGTAAAAACCAGCTTTCAATCACCCCTTCTGAAAAAAAAAGAAAAAGAAAAATTGATATTATGAAATGTTCCACAGTTACCTGTATAATAAGTGTTACTGTCTTTGCATTTAATATCACAGCACATTTATTCTAAAAGTACCAGGCAACACCTCAGATCCATCTTTGCTGAAATAACAATTTAAAACTAATAATTACCAGGTTTGCACAGAGGACTGAGTTCACATTTAGGCTCTGAGGGGAAGCCCTCTTTAGTCTCGAGTCTACTGTGAAAATAGTGGAGGCCAGTTTCTTCATCCAGGCTGTATGTGGTAGAGATGTTAGTCATGGTTGAATTTGACAGACACGTTTCATTGTTCAAAGTCCACTGAATGTTAGGCTCTTTGTAACAGTCAAGCTTTACAACACACTGGTAACGGTTTGCACCATTTGGAAGAGTCCTCTTGTGCTGAGAAATATTTGTCCCTGGTGAGAGATGATTTTTGTTAAAATGATGAAATTACATGAGTATTCAAAAATTGCTGGTAATCACAATGTACAACTTACCACAAAGCATGAGATTCACAAAAAAACGTCTGTAAGGTGGAGAATAAAAACGACAACTGTATTTTCCCTGGTCTTCCGATGTGATGTTTTTTAATAGAACAGAACAATTACTGCTGTCCTTATGAAAAAATGTTTCATATCGGTGGGACAGATTTACTTTAAAATCTAAGGTCCTATCATTATAGCTGAAGATCAATTTTGCCTTCACCCCTCTCTCCTCATCTTCTTCCACTTGCCACTTGAACTCCTTATTCAAATCTCTATTAGGGCAGTCACATGGCAGGAGCACATCATCTTTCTCAAAGCCTTTGACAGTGACAGGAATGCCTTCACCTGCAACAGAAAAGATGACCAATCATAAGTCCAGTTATGAGAATCACAATGTCAGTTTTCCTCCAGCATTAAATTATCAAAAGTAAACTTGATAAACTAGGAAAACACAGAACTTGCTGCTTCACAAAAGTTCAATAATCACAGAGAAACTGAGGAACTTGTGGGCTTTACAGCTCTGCTGTTAGAGTCATTTTCAGATGAAAGGATTTCTCGTGAGGATATGTAGGATTTGCTGTATCTTCTAAAAGACCTGGCATAATCATAAAAACACAATTCAGTGATTTGGGTTCATCAATAGTACAAAAAGAGCAGAAAGTCAAGTGCCTATAGCTTAATAAAGTGTTATATTTATGTAGGCTATAGTGAGTATAACGAACTAAATAACTACTAGTCAAAGGAGCTTGCAAAGAAAAGCGTCTGGACTTCTTTAAGTTACTTGAAGACGTTTCACCTCTCATCCGAGAGGCTTCTTCAGTTCTAAGGTCAAATGGTGGAGAGTCCCAGATATAACCCTAGTGGGAGTGTCCCCCCACAGAGGGACAAAAGGACCCCCTGATGATCCTCTAATCGCCTGAGCCAAGGTGTGGAACTGGGTGTGGGTCCCAATCAGCCAGAGTTTCGGGTGAGTTCATTGTGAAACCTGGCCCCACCTTATCATGCGAATTCCTGAGGTCAGATGGCCCAGGGTGTGAGTGGGCCTTAAGGCGTCTGGGAAGGGATCTCAAGCTCCTTTGACTACGATGACCTGGATGACTGAGAACCTTCACAGACATAAATAACTACTAGTTAAAACTAGTTGTTTTCATGTAGTTCTTGTGTAATGTTTACCTGAGTACATTCCTCCCTGTGAAATATTAACAATCATATTTAACAACTGTACATTTAAAACAATCATCCGGCAACGCCACATTTTTATTTACCATCCACACAATCACTAATGTTTGCTTTTGTTGCTCTTGTTTTACTTTCTGGTAAATCTCCAGTACATCTGCACAGTTCTTTGTGTGTTTCATGTTTTCCATCTGTTGTTCTTTTACACTTCAAGTGATAACTGCCTAAATAAACTTCTATATTCAAATTATAATCCCTTCTATTGTGCCAATTGCTACATGGAATTTAGCAACATGTTCTGGTTTACGCATGAAACTAAGACATGATTGCACAACCACTCCTCATTAGAGATTTGAGCCTCAATTTGTTTGCATTTCTTCAGATTAAATAAAGAAAAGACATCGAAAGAAAAAAGCTGAAAGAGCTGATGATAACCAGACGATGTAAACGGACAGCTCTGACCTGACAGTTCAGGTCATCTCCAATAAACTAATATAGTTAAAACAGTCAAGGCAAAGGTCTTCTGTGACTCTTTACTGGATTTTACAATGTAGGCGTGTTTGTTTCTGTATCTATAAATAATCAAATTCTTTTAATCAAAGAATTTCTCGATTCTGATGAGAAAGATTTCAGATTTTTTGGGGATAATGTGTATTTGTGCATTCAAATTGCATCTCTGAGGATTCGCATTAGGTTTAGTCATTACTAAATACTAAAAATGTATGAGTTTTATATATAACTACATGTAACTGTACCACATTTAACACATAATTTGATTTTTATTATTGATTGTTTAATCTTACGTACAAACTGAATTAAAACAAATAATAAAATGAAAGAACTAAAAAACAAATGATTGCCTTCCTATACAGGTTAGACCTGAACTCGACCTTGTTGTTTTAACACCCTAGGCTGTTTTAACAGCGGTTTACGGTGGAAGAAGAACACATTTCCAATCACGTGACATTAGTGAATAAACTTTCTATAAACATTCACTGCTAAAAAGGAAAACAAACTGCAACTTTTATGAGTGTTAAAAGATGTGAACCTTAAGTAATCTAATAGACTTTACCACAGCAGCCCAGTAGTTACTCCCACTTTAGCTCATAGCTAAAAGTATGATTTAAAAAAAACAAAAAACGTTTGCAATGTCTTTGATAAAGGAAGAGCTAAAGCTTCCATAAGTCTTAAAACTTCAGTTTCACAGATAAGGCGTGGACTAGAAATGTTTTGCGATGGAGCTCTTTTAGTCTTTTAGTTCAGGGTTAGCTTTAATCCACGTCTGGGAATCTGGGTTAAGGAGTCAAGGTTGAACTGACTTTGAACCGTCTTTTAGGATGTCACACACTACAGATTTTATTGCTTTGCATTTCTACCCAAACAAGTGATTCACCTTTCTGATTTTTAGGTAAGAGCTGTGCGAAAATTAACAAGATTATGTAACTGTCTTAATAAGACTATTAGAAATTGTATGATGTAGTTTTCATAAAGTGATAATGTGTGTACAAAAAAATGTGTGTGAGCTTTTTTAATCCAGTTTTGATTATAAAAGAACAGCTTTTCAAACAGCTCTTACACTGTGGTATTTTTAATTGCTGTAGCAGAACATGTAATTGAATTGTTTAAACTGTTTATGATTTGGTTACTCATTGAATGTGGTCTTAACTTCATCTAGGTCACACATTAGTACTTTTGGCTACTCCCCAGGTGGACGGATCTGTGTTTGATTTGGCACAAATTCTTCACTGGATTTTCTGATCCAGGCTGCCAAGAGTGAGCTCCTGCAATCAAACTGGGGATCTTTGCACATAAAGCAAAAATGTGGAGCACTAAAACCCCTGTCCCAGCTCCATCTGAGTTCCATCTATACAAAAACACAATCTGTCTAGCATATTAATAGCTTTTCATGTACAGTACACAAGTAAGATTTTTTTCTGCTAAGATAACCTCCATATGGTATCCAAGATTTAAAATTTTTCAGAATCATTGTAAGTGTGACTAGAATTGCTCCACCCAAGAATAAGTCTCAACTAACAAAGTGTTTGGGTGTTCATAATAACATAAGTGCGTGACATACAAAGATAACCCTCAAAACAGATCAGCATTCCCAAAAGAAGTGAAACAAATCTAAGCATAACAGCACAACACTTTTTAAAAAATGTACAGTGTGACAAATACTGAAAAAATGTTAAATACACTGTGCTGTGTTTGTAAGAAAAATCATAACATAACATCTTGACCAAAGATGTCTTAATGGACTGTTGATGCAACAAGGCGCAGAATAAACAAGCAAACTGGGAGTGTGTTGCTGAATACCTCCAAGAGGGGTCAAGGGAACCCAGCTATGAGCTGAAACAGGGAGGGAAGCATAAAACTAGCATTAAGTCTTAACTTCTCAAGTTCAAGAGTTTACTTTTGTGTTAAAAGCTGACATAAAAGTGTGACCTGGGAACGGACAACCGATTAACAGATGAAGGTCTTTTTAGCATTTACAGCAAATATAATGCAGAATTAACACTCAAGAAACATCGTGAAGATTTTTTGTGTTAAATCAACACTTTTGAAGTTGAAGACTGACTGACCTACTTAATTGATTAACACTGAACAGTGCCAATAATATTTCTACACCGGTCTTAGCGTTATAAATTTAACACTAAGTAGTGCTGATTTGCTAACATTGAAGAAGCAACACTGGCATTTCTGATGTGTACCCTTTTTATGAGAAGAGAACGACATAAATCTCTTTGCATTTAAATGATTTAATTGGCATGAAGACTTACCTGCGGACACCACAAAAAACGCGGAGAGCAGGAAAAAACGCATAATTCCTCCACGGGTGGACTGCTGCTAGAGGTAATCTGTACTTCCCAGATTGCGATTGATAATCTGTGTTAGTCTGCTGTCCTAATCTGCTCCTTCTGACAACACTTTCTGATGCTACATTTTCGAGAGCTCTGTAACTTCTGTGCGCCTCGAGCCAAACCACTCCACTTAAACCTCGTGTTATTGGGAAATGAAAGTCCTCTCCGGAATACCGTCACACTACGCCTATAAAAGGAAATCAATAACTAACGCGGCGAAAGTCTCGCCACCTACTGAGGACAAAGAATATTAAAACACTCGTGGGGTTAGACACTAGAGACTTGCAGCATAAATGTATGCAACACAATCTTATTTGAAATGAAATGGGTGATGTTGTAGTTGTTATTGTAAATGTTCTCAATGACATGTAAGCGCGCGCGCACACACACACACGCGCGCTCCCTCCGCCCGCTCCCACCAATCCAAACACATCCTCCAGCCTCGCGCCGTCACCGGGAGCTGGATCAGCAGGATCGGAACAATAGCATCCAGCACTGCGTCGACGCATATTCCGACATTTCTCTTTGTGCAAACGGACAAATCGTGAACATAACGGCGCTGCTGGACACCGGGAGGACGGTATGGGGGAGCACGCGGCGTTTCTGCTGTTACTCGTGGCGACCTTGACGCTTTCATCCGAGGTGAGTTTAGCGGAGAAACCGCAGCCTGTGGCGGCTAACCGTTACCTGGGCCAGACTCTTATGCCACCGTGGCTGTCAAACACTAACCCCGACACCCCCTCTCCATACACACGCCGTGTTAAATCTTCATAACGACTATTACAAAATAACATATGCAGATTAGATGGAGTCATAACAACACGGCGTGGCTGCTAATGGATGACATAAGAGCTATTAGAAGGTGCTGCTGCCAAAGATAACGCGATATAAGGACTTGTGAGCGGCCCACGCATCCTTTAATCCTATAAATGGATGCCCTCTGTTTTTAACAGAGGTGAAAATATGCCCTGTGAATCCACCTTAATCGCAGACCTGCAGTGTACACACACACACAGAGTCGCTGCGCAAAATAAACCACCAAACCAGGAATGTCAGCAATGCTACCGCGGCCTACCGTTAGATGTCAGTGGTTGGTATCTTGGCCCTGTCATGTCGGATGTTATTAGTCACGGAGTGTTTTTTTTTTTTCATTCTTCTACTACTCATTAATGTTTGATTTTTACGTTAAGAGAAGTATTAACAGTTTAACCGCTACGCCTTTCGCCGGGTTAGAGCACCGACAAGGGTGTAGGGAGCTAACGGTGGCTAGCTTTTTTCTAGAAAATGACAACACAGCTGTAAATGTCAAGTCCACTGTTAAATACCTGGACGGATTTAAACCCAGTACCCTTCTAGAAAAACAAGAAGGGTTTATCATGTGTGTAAATAACCCAGCTGTGTCCGGTGACACCAGCCTTTTATTTATTTATTTTTATATAGTGTAGATAATGTCGCGCTGGGCCGCCTGGTCCAGCGGAGCTGCGGGGCGGTAAAACTGCTGAGGAGAATGGAAAAAGGATGCAGCCTTATTAGTTTCACACAAGCAAGATGGCGCCTGCAGCTTGGTGTTCCTCTGATGGACCACAGAGGAATATGTTGCCCAGGACAGCTGGGGGAAAAAGGATGAATGGGCACCTGTAAATCAATTAGTGCATTTTTCCTCATTGTCACGTTACATTCACGGCGAAGGGGTTGTTTTTCACACTGCAGGCTCACCAGCCCCTGTGTGTGGTGCAGTGAAAATGTCTCCACAGCAAAATTATGCGGTACACACTATCGACACCATACCCGTGTCTGTCGTGACATTTGATCTGCATTTGTTTTGTAACGTTGAAATCAGCATTGTGCTGCCTTTTACGCACCAAGCCTCCGGCGATATAGAGATTATAGTTTTCCACGAGGTTTATCACGGTAAGCATACCGAGGATTGTTTTACTCTCTTGCCAGTTTAGTTTATCAGAGCACCCACAAACCTAGTATGCTGTAGTGATTTCGCTTTCTCTCTTTTTGTTTTATTGTTGTTGTTTTTTTGTCGTAATGTGAAAAGGATATACAAGCCCTGCAGGTTTACTAGTAACATGCGACTTCATGAAAAACTGGTTCAGGCTTAAATATGAAAACAGGCAGTGTCACTTTGAAAGACAAATAAGTAATGGAGTATATGGTAGTGCTGTGATAACGCAAATTTGATATCAATGTGATACCAAGTAAATCAAGGGCCAGTATTGCCTATACTTTTAACCAGGGAAGACAGTGTGTCATGATTTATCAGAGTCAGAGAGACTTTATTTATCCCCAAGGGGCAATTAAGATACAACAGAGCAGCATGGCGTTGAAGAACGCAAAACTGCTCAGCTGACTGACCGGTCGACCGCACGAGCAGCGACCCGGAACCAAACAACATGAGGAAAGACGAGGAGAACTCCCCCCAGACTGAGCTCCAACAGGAAATCAGGGGGGTGGGGGTGTACATGCGTATGTGTGCGTGTATGGGCTCAAATTGTGGTTATAAATATTTTGTACTTGTAAATCAGGATTTGTATGTGTAAAAAGAATTTGTGTGTGCGTAAAAAAGATTTGTGTGTGGACTTAGCCAAAAAATACGTGTGAAACTGCATTCAAGTTTCAAGTTACAAGTATGAATTTTGACCCTATTTTTCTTCCTTTCTTCTGTTTGTCCAATGTCATGTCAATCACAAATTTAACTATCCAATCAGAGATCAGATGGGTTTGGCTATTGGAGGGGTGCTTTATGGAGCTTCAGGTCCTTGAAGGGAATAAATGCCCTTTTACATGCCAGCACAGCGTTTTCCTTCATCACCACGAAGGAAAACAGTCTGTGGTGGTCCGAGTTTTGTGTCACAGGTTTACGTGCTTAATACAGGGACCTCCAGAGCCTTTTCAACAGCGCTGCGGACCTGAAGAGGGGGGGGAGGGGGGGTCAGTGTTGTGGAAATGACAGTTTTCACTAGTGGGGATAGTTACTAAGCTTTTTTCGTTATGAATGAGACTACATGTTTTTATTGAACATTTGAAGAACCAGCAAAAAACCCCAGAAACTCTTGTAGAGGACATAAAGTCAGAGATAGAAACGACAAGGAGCAGGTGCATCTAGTACAGGTAGAGCTGCTGCAAAAACCCAGAGTTCAGCAGCTGGGTCAGCCCTGACTTTGTGTTAAACTCATCCTAAAGTAATAATGGTATTTCTAACCACTGATATACCACAACTTTATCCTTTCAATAGATACTGAAAGTTAGGGGACCTAGCTTCTATCAGATATTTACATAGAGATCCTCTAGCTTCAAACTGTATTACCCTTCAAGGACCTGCAGTTCAAAAAAGTGCCCCTCCGACAGACAAACCCATCTATCCTCTGATTGGATAGTTACATTTGTGATTGACATGACATTGACCAACCAGATGAAAGGAAGAAAAATAGGGTCAAAATTCGTACTTGTAACTTGAAACAAATCTTTTTTACGCACGCACAAATTCTTTTTACATATACAAATCTTTTTTACACACACACAAATTCTTTTTACACATACAATTCCTGATTTACAAGTACAAAATATTTATGACCACAATTTGAGCCCATACGTGTGTGTGTGTTTTCTCCGTGTTCAGCCGAGAGAAAGTCTCCCTTTACTCCGTTAGGCAAAAGTCCACAATCTTTGGTCAACGCGGGTGGCCTTGAAGGAAGTGGGAGAAAGTCACAAAAACAGTTTTGTTATCTAAGGGAGAATTTTGTTATTCCTATCAGCTTTTGCCTTGAGCATCCAGCTGGCGCCAGGGGGCAGAATGAGGTGAGATGGTAGTTGTTTTGGTCAGTGCGAACAAACTGCATCCAGTTTTGCAGTTGGTCTAATGTCCGTCACTGGCCACCATGTCTCTCAATTCCCGTTGCAGTGTCACCTCAAGATCTTATCCATATTGCAGAGCCATGAGCTTCTCCAAGACCATATCCATGTTGCGTTCAATAAACACAGTCTGAGTACTCACAGCCCTGCCCATCGTCTATCATGTTGGCCAGCCTTATGGGATTTTTAACAGCTGTTGCCGCTTCTTGTTCTTCGATAAGCCAGGTCCGAGCCAGCTCCAGTCAGCCAGAACTCTGTTATCGTGGTTCTGAATTGGTAGATGTCGTTCAATGTCCTCCATTGAGAGTGTCGCCAGACACACGACGCAACGACCATCGAGTATCCGGCAGCAAACGTCTCCGCAGGACAATCGGGCTCTCCCAAGCCCCGGCTTCTTGCCGAGAAGAGGTTGCTTTATGATCGAAAGCATCATCAATCTGCAAATTGTACAATGCAATACAGTTTTATGTATATAGCAAATTTAAAATCAGAGGTAAACCAAAGTGCTTCACAAAATCCAGTAAAAGTAGTAGCAAAATACAATGCAAATAAGCTAGCAGGTAGAAAGCATTGATTAATCAAGCATACAAGGTAAGCAGATATCAAAATAAAACTACAAAGGTAAAATCAATACAAAACATTGTTCAACAAAACAGAAGAAAAGGGGTTCCATGAGAGTACACTTACAAGAAGCGTACTCTAGATAGTCAGGAAGGCTAAACCAAATAGATACGTTTTCAATTGAGATTTAAAAGTCTGGATCGAATCAGACACGCACATAGCTTGTGGGAGATTGTTCCAGATGTTAGGTGCAACTGGAGTGAAAAAACGGTCACCTCTGGTCTTTAGCTGTGACCTAGGTTGCACCAAGAGCAATAGGCCTGTTGATCTCAGTGCTCTCCTAGGAATATAGAGGCTGAGAAGATCAGTAAGATAGCTAGGTGCGATATTATTTATGATTTTAAAAGTAAGCAATAAGATTTTAAAATCAATGCGATATTTAATGGGAAGCCATTGTAGGTCACAGAGAATTGGGGTAATAGACTCAAACCTACCAGTTCCGTTTAAGAGGCGTGCCGCAGCATTTTGAGGAAGTTGCAGGCTATGTAGAAGGGCAGATTGGAGACCAGTGTATAGGGAGTTGCAGTAGTCTAATCTAGATGTGACAAAGGCATGGATATGTTTTTCAAGATCCTCACGTGGTAAGTATGGCTTGGCCTTAGAGATTAGACCTAGTTGGTAAAAACTAGGTTTAACTACAGAGGACACAAGAAGGTTTTTGAACACATTTTGATGACCACTAAATCATGATTTTCACATCTTTCAGCTTTTCATGTATTTCGGACTGCTTTTTTGGGGTGAGACCTGGAATGCACATCTGCCCCTCTCTGAAGTGCAACTTCTGTTGTTTAAACGTGCTATAAGCTGGAATAAAGTAAATGTGACAGTCAACACAAAAAGGTTCAGACATTTTTTAAAATTAATATTTGAGCTTTATTCTTACATTTCCAAAAGAAAATATTTTTTAACACAATTCAGTGGGCTGTATACTGAACTCGGAGGGTAGAAACAAAGTATTGATCCTATCGCGCTAGTATTGATCCAATACTAATACCAGCGTTAGTATTGATGCCACAGATATTTGGAGCGAGACATCCACCTAGTATATGGGGTGAACAGCCATGAGTGGAATGATGTGCCCTTCAGCAGATGTTAAACCACACACACACATCCTCAGTTGATATGCCCCAAAAAGATGTAATTAGAAATATAAATAAGTGAGTAATTGGGTAACATAATGCAGACCAGGCAGACCAGCTACTAGAAACAATGGGTTATGACATGCATATTCACAGGAGTCTAATTATGTGCTGTTATTCGCAGGCAAACACATCATAATGTCAGAATTAGTCATTTAATAATTGGCAACAGTTGGCTCGGAGGCTAGCGTTTTGTCAGTGTGCACCATCAGCTTTTTTGTGTTATCTGCCAGAAAATCAAGGCCCCACAAAGGCGAAAACACATCGAGACTTCCACCAATTGTGTCCCAAACAAAACGGATGGAAAAATATGCTGATAGCAGTATCCTATGAAATCGACTGCCAAACCCGGTTTTCTGGAAAGACATTATTTATACCTTATGGGTTTTTTTTTGTAGCTAGAATTTAATACCTTGTAGATTACTATTATTTTCCCTTCTGAACACTCCCATTGTACTTTAACTAATGGAGTAAAGCCAGACTTGACAGACAGATTAAAAAAACAGAAAATGTGCTGTTCTATGGCAGTAGTATTGTTGAGGAATTTAAAAGCATTCATCTTTATGACTTACTAATCTCACTACTTTATATTTGAAGTATGCAGTAGAATGACTTCAGAGGAACTTGGTACATATAAGCTGCATGATGAGATATTTATGGATAAGCTATACTTTAGGGAGTTTGGCAGTTTTCGTTATTGTTCTGTTTTATACTTTTTCTCTGTCCAGGTGCCAGATGATGACTCGGTGGGTTTGCTAACCGAGCCCCAGGTGGCCATGTTCTGCGGGAAGCTCAACATGCACATCAATGTGCAGAGCGGCAAATGGGAGTCCGACCCTTCCGGTACCAAGAGCTGCATTGGCACCAAGGAGGGCATCCTGCAGTACTGCCAGGAGGTATTTCAACCGAGTAAAACAGCACTGCAGAGAGAGAGAGGTATGAAGTATTGCAGCAATAAAATTCAAATCTCCCATGTTTGCACAGGTGTACCCAGAGCTGCAGATTACAAATGTTGTGGAGGCCAACCAGCCTGTCAGCATCTCCAACTGGTGCAGGAAGGACCGCAGGCAATGCCGCAGTCATGCACATATCGTGGTGCCACACCGCTGTCTGGGTGAGCTTTTTTTAGTCCCTTTGTTACTGAGTGTGTTTGTGCATGGTTGCATCTTTAAAAGTGTACAATACATGCAAAAAGATGCATTTCTGTTGCAGTAGGAGAGTTTGTGAGTGACGCCCTGCTCGTTCCCGACAAGTGTAAGTTTCTGCACCAGGAGCGTATGGATCAATGCGAGAGCCACCTGTACTGGCACACTGTAGCCAAAGAGGTGAGGAGGGAGGCTTTTTGTGTCTGTTTGCTTCCCTCATTGTCCTTCTGGTTCTGTGGTAGCGCCACTGTATGACTCAGAAGAAAGTGCCAGGGAAGGCTGACAGCACTGAGTTATTCTTGTCCTTTTCTGTGCCGTTTATATTCAGTAAACCATAGTTCAGGTTTCTGGGTTTGCCGCAATTAGCTCTCATAAGGATTAAACAACCGATTAAACATTATGGTGTTTGATTTTGGATACTGTGTGCTGTTAAAATTAGTACTGCGGAGACCGCTCCATGAATCTCCACGACTACGGGATGCTGCTGCCATGTGGTATAGACCGTTTTCGAGGGGTGGAGTTTGTGTGCTGCCCGGCCTGGGCTGAACGGGAGTCAGACAGCGCACAGCTTCAGGGGGAGGAATCCGATGTGTGGTGGGGCGGAGCTGAGAGCGAATACTCTGATAACAGGTACGATCACAGGTGGACTTTGACTCGTTTCTGTGCACGCCTGTTGATACAAAGGCTGAACCAACCGTTCTGACCGCAGCATGACCCGCCCAACGGACATACAGCTGGCTGCCAGGGAGGATGACGAGGATGTGGACGAAGAGGTGGAAACTTTTGAAAGGGATGACAACGGGGATGGAGAAGAAGATGACGAGGAAGCCGATATGACGGATGACCGAGATGGCGATGAGCCCAACGCTAACATCGCCATGACAACAACGACAACCACTACCACTGAGTCAGTTGAAGAGGTCGTTAGAGGTGAGAAATGAAGCAGTTCTGCCCTCTTCTCACTCTCCTTAAGTTTTTTGTTTGTTTGTTTTTTGTTCATGGTTTGATTTCCATCATGTGTCGCTATGTTGAGTTCCTTCTGTCTCCCATAAAATTCCAAACCTCACCTTTTGCATTCATGTTTAATTTGCCTATGTGTACATGTCTCAGCGGTTTGTTGGGCTCGTGCTGAGTCAGGCCCATGTCACGCCATGCTGGAGCGTTGGTACTTCATGCCTGAGACGGGCCGCTGCGCCCCCTTCTTGTTTGGGGGCTGTGGGGGCAACAGGAATAACTTTGAGTCGGAGGAGTACTGCCTCGCTGTCTGCAGCAGCTCGTGTAAGTCCCGGGACTGAAGCTACAACCTGAAGTGTCCACATCAGGAGCCTGATTCCTGTCCTCAGGCTGCTGCAGACTGTTTCTCTGGCTCGCTCGTTCTTTCTGTCTCTCACTGACCTTACCGTCTGAGGCCTGTTAACCTTTCAGAGCACTGACAACTGGCTGTAGTTTCATTCATTTCATCATTTTTTCCATCAAGATAGAAACTGTATTTTTGAATTGGAAAGCAAAAGTAGACACAAGAAAAAAAAAAAGAAAAAAAAAAGAGGGCCACAACATTACAAGGCTTGTGAGCAAACCTAGTTCAAAAGGACCAAATCATTGTTAGTTCTACCTGAGGAGAAAAATCTTTCAAAAGTGAAAATGTGGCACACATACAGTGTACCAAATAACTGCTGACACTCTGGGGAATATTGCTCATTTTGTTTTTTAGGTAAAAAGAGAA